GTAGTGATTTTCACTAGAGTAGGCCCATTGAATCAATGGAGATTTGGCAAGTCAACTTCATAAGTTCTGTTGATTCAAATAGGACTACTCTAACTATGACTTACTTCAGCATAGTCTTATTGGAGGAGTTAACTCATTAAAGCTCCATTGATTCCATGGTCCTACTCTAGTGTGATTTATCAATGCGTACTTAAGAGTAGTCCAATTTGAATCAATGGAACTTATTGGAGGAGTTAGCTCATTAAAGCTCCATTGATTCGATGGTCCTACTCTAGTGTGATTTATCAATGCTAAGCAACAAGATTTGGGGCATTGAGTGAAGACTGGGAACCAGTAATTTCTTGCATCTTGCACAGTCTCAGCTTACAAAATTGCATTAATGGCATTGCTCACTAAGCATATACCTTGTTAGGCAATATGCATATAATCACAATAGATATCAGTTATCTCATTTTTCTTTTCATTTTTTTGAAGGAGCTGCTTGAAAGCACAGATGAACAATATTGTTGTACCCATTCTTTTCCACGAAGGGGAGCCATAGAGTCAAGAATGCCTGCTATTTGTTTCGACCCGCTGATCTTATTTCTGTAGTTTCAATCTAATTTTGTTCCTTTCCTGTGTAGGGGGACTATTAATACAGGATAGTGAGATGAATTATAGCTTTGTTGGAAGCATAAGAATTGTATATGATGGGTTTTATTAAACCCAGTTGACTGTAAATAACTGTGAGCCATACAGGTTTATTGTTTGATTTAAAGTCAGTTCTAGTAGCTGTTTGCAAGCTTGGGTGAAGGGGAAAGAAGAAGCACTAAGCAATGAGACAAAGCTATTGCTTAGGGAGCAAAGAGATTCAGAGGCTTTTTGTCTTGTCCATGTGCAAGGATATCTGCCTGGGTGTTCAGATTCTCTGTGTGCAGTGTTGTGAAACACACACACCTGGTTATGTAGTCTCTCATTTGTGATTATTTTTGTTCTCCATGACCTATGTAGATCATGGTCACTATTTCTGAGTGCTGGTTTTTAATGCAATGGCCAAAATCATACTGTTTACATATGGTGGTGTAAGAGCAATGGCATCAGTTACAGCGGTGCTAATTAAGAAGTTGTTGGTTGTATTCCTCATTACGTACCAGTCACAAGACTTGGTGCATGATGAGGAGTGCAAGCTGCTCAGATGCAGCTCTCAGTGCAAGATGAGGAGTGCAAGTGCTAATTCCTTAATTAGAAGTTGTTAATGGCTGTGGTATATTCCATTGCACTTAATACCAGGGATGGAGACTCAGGTTGCAGGACCCGCTGTCAAGTTGGACTTAAGTTGTACCAGTAACTCAATTCAGTTTTTTTCCCAGTGGCTGAGACTCATGACTTGGAGTCCACCCACCCTTCCCTTTCTTTCTAGGGGAAAAAAGCTTATTTTTAATAGAGACTCGGGTTTGGGGCTTGGGACTCAGGACTTGGTAACAAAGATTTGGAATTGGATCCAAAGACTTGCCAACATCTCTCACTACTGCAATTAAGAAGTTGGCAGTTGTATTCCTCATTACGTACCAGTCTCAAGAGTTGATGCAAGATGAGGAGTGCAAGTGTTCATTCCTTAATTAGAAGTTGTTCATGGCTGTGATTTATGCTATTGCAATTAATTCTGTATGTAAACAAGACTCTTCTGGTCCCTATTTTAAAACAAACCTTTCACTAAGCTGGCTGTGGCTAAGATCTCATGTCTGAAATCCTAGATGAAAAACACTCTGTTGTAGAAAACACCTTATTCTGTAGCTAGGGGATTTTAAAAAACTAGTCTGCAAAAAAGGGCATGGGAAGTATTCTAGGGCTTGCGTGTGCTTTCTAATCCTCTTTTGCTCCTTGCTGAGAAGAAATGGTGACAGTCAGCCTTGGATGTAAAACAAGTTAACCCTCTTCGCATCTCTTTGATTTTCTGCCAAAACTCGTCCTCTGCGCTTCTGTTGCTGTCACTTCTTTAGGCTCATGTTCTCATTATTTCTCCCGGCTTCTTCTAAAGAAGAATTATAAATCCCAATGGCCTGGGTAGTTTAAAATTTGAAGGAAAAAAAAAACAGTTTATTTCCCCATAGCTTTTATTGTAAGCAAGGAAACTAAAATCAACAAAGCAACCAGTACCACTCCCCAAGCCTGCATCTGGATCTGTTGTTCAGTAGTTGAAACAGGAAAACTGCTGTGCTTAAAGATCTGAGTTATCCGTTCTTAAAGCAGACCCTGGCATGAATTAGCCATTCATTTGCTGGGCTTTTCTCCCGGTCCCAAGAGGGTGGAGGATAGGATCAGATGAACAGGGGAGAGAAGCAGCTATGGTTTCACTGAAGGAAGAATAATAATGAATCTTGTGTCACCTTGCAGATTAACAAGTTATAGGTCACGTAGGCTTTTGTTATGCTTATTTTGTCAAAACTTTAAGGTGCCTCAATATTTTTTTTTGTTTTGCTGCAAAAGACTAACATATTTGTTTGTTTTTTAATCCTGGAAACATAAGACCAGAAAATGTAATCGAAACAGTAGGCCAGGTCAGAGAGTATTTGTGCAGATTTATTTTCCTGAGAGACTCTGAAGCAGAGCAGAACAGACTGACATCCAGGTTTATACAGGGCGGCTGCTGGCTAGAACTCTCTAAGGGAGAGAAAATGTGCCAGAATTCTTACCTAGGGACCTCTGAAGGCATCCACTTTGTAAGGCAGCAGTCTGTCCATGACATCTTCTCTCAAGAACTACAATTCCCAGAGTGCCTTGGATCCTGCTGGCATTCCTCTACAGAGGAAGGAGGAGATGACAGGTTGGTTCTGGCAGCCCTAGGGAAGGACAAGCACCATCCTAAGCAGGAACATAGATTTCAGGGGGAGCTGGAACCAACACTGCTGGTATGATTTACAGGGCTCAGCACAGATGTGAGTAAATGAGACAACAGTGCTGCCCGCACTTATTTGAGAGTAAAGCCCATTGAACTAAATCAGTTGTATCTCTGAGCAGAGAGAGGGAGAGTGATATGTGTTAATTATGCTGTTCTCCATAGCGCACAGAGGAACTGACATCAGTTCTTGGGGGAAACGTCAGAAGGACATTTCACAGTCAGTTTGCAATTCAGAGCAAGTAGTCAGGCATGCAATGGGAGTTAAAAGCAGGTAAAGGACAGAAATCCGTCTCACAGTTTTTCTAGAAGAGGGGTTGTGACAGGGCTTTGAGATTGAATGCGGGAGTGTTGGATCTGGGTGTGAGATGCTGTCTTTTACTATTGGCCCACTCTCTGCTCCAGGTTGGTGGGAGGGATGTGGTTTCTGCATTGATGGCTCGATTGCTTCATCACAGGAATGGGTTTTGCTGCCTGCCTCCATTGAAAATAAATTGATTTAACTGAGTGTTCTGAATGCATTTTTGACAAAAACTCAAGGTTTATTTCTGTTATTTTTAGAGTTGAATCAGAGCACTCACTTGGTTCAGCCATTGTCCACAGCAAAAAATGTAATCAGCGATTAACAAATGGGAAAGGGCCTTTGCTTGACTGGAATTGGGACAGTCTTGTTAGAAAGTGGGGAAAGTCATATTTTGTGCTGCCACTTGTTGATTTTTGTCCTATTCCTATTTCTGTGCTGCTGTTTCAGCTGTCTTTTAGCTTTTGTTTTCTGCTAGGCTTCTCATAATATTGATGTACAAACATTAGATTTTCCTATCCGTTGCTATGGTTACGTTTGGATTGCCATTTCAGCTGCAGAAATGAATGTGATGCACTACAAATCAGGGCTCCATAGTATGAACAGAGACGTGCTCTTAAAACTTTTAAATTAAGCGTAGAGGTTATCAGGAAAAGTAAATACCCTACCAGAGTTGTCGCTCAGGGCCCTGTCAACTGATTGGATTATAACCTAGTGCTTCTGAGACCTTATTACTTGTAATAAAAGTATTTGTATACTGCCCAGAGTGGCCTTGGCGATTGGATTATAACCTTGTGCTTCTGAGACCTTCATACAGTACTTGTAATAAAAGTATTTGTAAACTTCCCAGAGTGGCCTTGGTAGTCAGTATAAAAATCAAACAAACAAACAGAAAATTACAGATTTTTCTGTGATAACATTGCAGGATGAGGCTATGATTTGCCATACTGCCTGTATCCAAAAGTCCATGTAACCATATTTAGCCAACTGTTCTTCGGAAGCTTGTGAGAAGAACATCTATACGTTTATGAACTCGCTGCAAAGTGCAGGTTGGTGCTTATTATCTTCAAAGTCTCACATGGCTAGACTTTGATTGCTTAGAGGATGATTCTACCCTCACAATCTTTCCCCTCCTCTCAAGTCATGTTGAGTGGTCTCACTGTGTAACCTTTTACTTCCAGAAGCGCGGGCTTTAGGGAAACACAGGATACAAGCTTTATTTGTGGCAAGCTGCAAAACCCTGGTTATCTAGTAAGAGCCATTTGATTATTTTGTCCATGGTAGCCTGTATAATGTAAACCGCCTGGAGAGTGCTTGTAGCACTATGGGGCGGTATATAAGTCCAAAAATAAATAAATAAATAAATGGTGTTTCAATGCCATCTGAAAATGTGTTTGTTCAACACTATATTGTCCAGTAAAATTATTGAATTGTTTTTCCTTATGAAAAAAAAAGATCTCTGGCTTATTTTTTTTTAAGTGATTATTCTGGTCTGATCTGGTCTTTCAACGGGGAAATGAGATGCAAAAATTGACATGTAATTATTTTAATAAACAAATAATAGTTATGGGTAGCCACCTCTTCTTTTTATCTCCAGCATTCTTGGGGTCAAAGCATAATCTTCTAAAAAATTCCAAGTGTTTACCACATTCTCCCCAAAATCTTCCTGATTGTTGCCTCCTTTTGTATTGGAACAAGAAGAGCAACATTGGCTCATGCAATATCTATTATTCCTGCATGTATTTGGGTGGAGCATACAGGTGATTCTTAAAAATAATAACCTGCCAGATGAGTGAATGTTTGTTCTGCCACTTTTTTGCACAGCACCAGAACTGCCCATTCTGGAGAAAAGGAATTGGCTGATCTACCTGTACTACATCCGCAAAGACTATGATTCATGTAAGGTAGGAAAAAGATATATCTTGACTATTACCATTTTTCCAGTCACTCAAAAGGCCAACTTTGGGAAAGGAGAGAAGACTGCTTTTTTTGCATAAACCTTCGAAGGGAAAGATAAGGGATGTGTACATCTAGTTAAATTCTCTAAAGACTGTGGATTTAAAGTTGAACACTACTTTCGCTGTTGGGTCTGATAAGCTGCTAGAGTTTCTTTAGAGCCGTACTCCTGATGAAAAGCTCACAACAACAATACTCAGAGAGAAGTAACTATAGTTGGCTTCAGAGATGGAGACTTGAGTCGCGGGACTCGCTGTCAAGTCAGACTTAAGTCTCACTGGTGACTCAACTTGGATTCTGGCTTTTTTAATGACTTGGACTCAACTAGTGACTCAGAACCCACCCATTCCCTTCCTTTTTTTTTCCCCAGGAAGAAAAGCTTATTTTTGATAGGGACTCGGATTTGAGACTTGGGACTTGGTACCAAAGACTTTGACCAAAAGACTTCCCAACATCCCTGGTTAGCTCTGGGTCCAGCTTGGACATGAGGGTGAATAATGGGGGAGAATGTGGAATCTATATTCAAAAGGGCAGGAAAGATGGAGAGAAGGTTGTGTGTGAAACTGCAGTTTGGAGATTGGGAGATGCGATGTCTGAACCGAGTTTTTGTTAACTCCTGTGTAAAGAAGACTTTGACTAAAAGACTTCCCAACATCCCTGGTTAGCTCTGGGTCCAGCTTGGACATGAGGGTGAATAATGGGGGAGAATGTGGAATCTATATTCAAAAGGGCAGGAAAGATGGAGAGAAGGTTGTGTGTGAAACTGCAGTTTGGAGATTGGGAGATGCGATGTCTGAACCGAGTTTTTGTTAACTCCTGTGTAAAGGCTCTTCTGCACTCTTTTTCTGATCTAAACAATTGCAGCATGTTAACCTTCTCATAGCTTCCTTTAGACCTGCTGCATATTTCTCCCTTTACCCCTGACCTGTCAGCCCAGTCAGTGTAGCTAGTCGTCATGACCATGTTCATTTGGCTACTTCTGATGAAATTTCAGCCTGAGCTTAATTTATTTTGTTCACCATAAACATGCAGAGAGACGCTTTCAGATGTGTTTGTTAACGCTGATTCTGGGGAGAGCGCATTCGCTTAAAATACAGTGGGGTCTTGACTTAAGAAAGGCTCGAGTTAAGAACATTTTGACTTAAGAACCACTCTCATAGGAAAATATTGACTTGACTTACATACTTAGATTTGAGTTAAGAACATGAAGAAAAACACGTGGGAGGCAGGGAAAGTGCAAAATTTGAATTTTCAGTTAACTGTTGGCCAGTGAAAAGGGTGCCTGTCTGCTTCCTCAGTCCTCCCAGCGTTTAGAGAGTGGATTGGGAGTCTTCAGACTGCCTGGTACTGCCTGGACTGTATTTTCCCTGCCTTCCCTGAACCTTTCTTGACCTAAGAAAAAAAAGAAACAAAATATCCCCCTCTAGTGGTCGAAGTCAGAATAGCAGCTTCCCATTAGTTTCTATGGACGGAAAAGAGCAGATACGGATCAAATGGTTTTCAATGCATTCCTATGGGAAATGCAGATTTGAGCTGAGAACTTTTTGACTTGAGAACCGCCTTCCAATACGGATTAAGTTCTCAAGTCAAGACCCCAAAGTATACCCTTTTCCTTAGCTTGCTGTGCCAAAAAACCCAACAATTTGAAACTTTGGTGGAATTCCTTTGCGTATGTATTGAAATGTCTTTGTAACATCTATACTGAGAAGTGGCTGTGGAGAGAGAAAGAGTGGCTGTTCTTTTTGCTAGCAGGATGTCTAATGCAGTTAAAATCATTTGGTAACATAACTTTCTAAGACTCTTATGGTCAGTGTACAATCCTAGGCTGAAACTTCTGCTTAGCCGTCAGCTCGTGTTTCCCCTTTAGGCATGTTGTTTGCTACTTCTCTGCCCAGCTACCAAATTTGAAGAAACTGCTCCACTTTGCGCCAGTGTGGGCTGGATGTTCCTGTGCCAGAAAATCTACATGGAATAGAAAGAGAGGAATCTAAAAGACTAGAAACAGTGTAGTGGAATTTCTGATGTTAATGGGACTGCAATGCAGCTGTTGCATTGCATGTAAATGGCGTCCATCTGGTTTCAGTAAATTGATTATCTTGGCTACAACTTTGCTGAAGTGAATCACAACTAAAAAATATAAGCAAAAAGACGAGTCATCTTGAATGGTCCTACAGGTGCAGGCTTTGTACCAAGGAGAATATTCTTTAGAGCTTTGGTATAGTGTTTTTTTAGAAGATAATTTACTCTGCAAAGAGATTATGAACCACTAAGGACCATCCGGGCATGTGCTTAATTTTTTATTAGATGAATAACAGAATTCTACTCCAGAAGTACTGGGTAGTGGGAATTAAGCTTGCTTTGCTGTTATATATTCAGCGCCTGTTACTTGAATGTTAAGATTTTTTTTAATGCGGAAGGATTTTATAATGCCGTTAAATGAAAAGGAAAGCTTTGTCAGTGTTAAAAGAATCAAACAGCCCCTGCTCTTGGAGAATTTGACTTCAAGAGATTTTATTTCCAGAAGGGACAAATTACAACATGAGAAGCAATTAGTTCAATATCCCTTTGCTGAAAAGAAGAGAAGCAGGCTTGTTGTTTTTTTTTTAACTGTAGCTGGGTATATTTCTTCACAAATACAAGCTTCATGTTGAAGCCAGTTGACTGAAGGACATAGTATTTGAGCTCCTAACTTAACTGCCCCTTATATAAAATGAATATTCTCCTTATTATTAAATTGTTGTGTCTTTACTGCTTGATTCAGATTGCTATAAAAGAGCAACTTCAGGAGACCCATGGGATGTGCGAATATGCTGTCTATGTTCAAGGTAGGTTTAAATCATAGGTACTTACACATACTGTACATAGTGTGGTTGGCATGCTTAAAGTGTAACTGGTATGCTCTTGGTTTGGGTTGACAGCGTCATCAGGTGGATGAACTAAGTTGATCCTTGCGGTCTAGTTCAACTCTGTTAAGTCTATGTTTCTGTGATTCTATGAATTCTGAAAAATGGCTTCTATGAATTCATCCGTTCATTCGTTGTGTTCCTTCACAAATGACAGGTGCATAATGAAAAAAATTAAAACATTCACCATTTGCATTATGTGCCTTCAAGTCACTTTTAGCTTATGGCAACTATAATAGGGTTTTTGAAATATATGAGATGTCCAAGGACTTGTTTACTATTGTTGTCCCACTCCAAATAGTTTCCATAGCGAGCTGAGCAGGAATTTGAACCCGAATCTCTATGTACCACTATATCCACTAATTCACTTTTATTATATATTTCATTACACTTACACTGTTCTTTTCCTCTGAAGAGATCACAATTGACATACCTTTCCCATGTCCATGCTGCTTATGGGTCCAGATTCACCTCATTTTAACACAAAAAATATACAGTGCAGAGTGCTTTCATTTTAGCAATCAAATTCTGAGACACACATTTATAAGAAGAGGGGGGAAAACATTTCAAAGCTAGTGCACTGTTTGCAACCAGAATGGTAGACTTTAAAGAATCTGGTTCACATTCCTACCCAGTTGTGAAGTGTAGGTTATGGATATTATAAATAGATATATGGAATAAAGGTTTAGCATTGTTGTTAGATGAAAAACTGCCAGGGCAGTACAGTTTTGAGGGACGACGTAGCCAGAAATGGGGCGTGAAGTGCTAAACTCTTTCCCGCTAGCTGCTCAAAATGATCTCTGCATGGCTTCCACTGTGATTTCCTGTGCACTGTCTCAGTCATATGGGTGGAAGACGAATCGGGGTTGGAGAAAGAGTCATCTAAATTTAGTCCTTCCTTCTGTGTGAGTGAGAGCCAGCTAGCTTCCTTCTGTTCCTGTCATGCTTTTGAGCGTTTACATGCATGTGTGGAAATTTGCTTGGAGAAGTGAACTAAGAGGGAATCTGCCTCCTTCTGTAATGACAGAATGGGAGGGCAGAGAGGAGTGAGAGGGCCCGGGGACCATCTGTACTTTTTCCCCTGCCAGTGAGGTAGGTAGCCAGGATTCCCAGGATGTGACTCTGGGCCCCACATCCCCCACATGTCTCATGGTGAATGGACGAGTAGCAGAGGCTTAAAGGAGCCAATGCCAGAGCCTGAGAGCTCACCCACAGTGGGTCCTCTGCCAAGGGCCCTGCCCTTCTTCTCACTCTATAGACACTTCCTTTGTAGCATAGGGGTGGGGAAGTGCCAGGTTTGCTGGGGCCAATTTGCCCCTCTTGGACTCACCACAAGCTGTACCAGCTACATCCCATGGAATCACTAAGTGACTGGAAGTCTATTTCTGGTCCTGCAAGCCTCCTTTGCAAGCGTGGAGTGGCAGGAGCTGCTTATTTTAAAGGCTAGAGGCGTATAGTTTTCCGTAATGACAGATGATTGACATTCGGGAGGGCTCATGGACCTACAGTATACAGATTGAGCGGGGGGGCCTAATGCAGTCCCGGGGCCGTGTGATTTTCACCCATGAGTTAGCATAAGACAAGCAAAGCCACACGTCAGATCGAGCGTTGGGCTGCAGGAGTTGCCTTTCTGTCCTCACATGCTTGAAAAAGAAACAGACCCAGATCTGGAGGAAGGAGCACCTTCTAGCACCAGCTGGGGATGTGCCATTCATTTCCCATGACAACCATACTTTAGGGTAAGTTTCCCTAAGTATGCCAATTCCTCTACTTGCTGTATTAGCTATTGAGATCTATTTGCCATTAAAAATAGGTAGAACTTTGAGTTTATGATGGACTGTGGCCATTGCCACCCCTGCAAAGGCTAGAGGATTTGCCATGTCTACAACTATATTTGCCATTAAAAACTTTGAGCTTATGATGGACTGTGGCCATTGCCACCCCTGCAGAGGCTAGAGGATTTGTCATGTCTACAACTGGGGCACAATCCATGCCTCTGAGCTCTGCTTGTTCCAGGGAGTCAGGGAGACGGTGGAGATGACGGTGCCTTTGTTTCAAGCATGTAGCTCTGCTATGCTTTCTCCTGCTTCCCCCTTGCCTCCATTTTACTTGCTTCTACTGCAGAGCTGACAGGTTGGTTCTCTGGGCTCTCCTCTCATATTCTTGCGAGGATTGTGCCCAGAGTATTTCAGTAAAAGAGTCCTTGATTAACATTTTGTTGCCCTGTTGATTTTCAGCTTTGATATTTCGATTGGAAGGGAAGATTCAAGAATCGCTCGAGCTTTTCCAGACATGTGCTATTCTGAAGCCTCGAAGCGCCGACAATCTCAAACAGGTGGCCCGATCACTGTAGGTGTTCTTTAATCCTTTAGATTTCAGGTATCACATGGCCAGCCATGGTGGTTTATGTTCCATTAGCCTCCTCCATACCTACATAGCCTTAACTGCTCACCCTCTCCCCCTTCCTGCATCCTAAAGAATACACAAAGAGTCCAAATGGAGCAGAGCTCCAAGGGGCCTACCCACTCCAGCATCTTTTCCCCCCAGTGGCCAACCGCATGCTTCAAGGGAGCCTGCATATAGGCTGAGAGGCAGCAGCCCACCTCCCTGTTCCCTCCTTCCCCATTGCTATTCAATGCTCTGCTGCTTTTAACTGCTTCCCTGTGGCTGCCATAATTAAAACCTCTATTGAGAACCAACAATGTTCTCTTCCTTGGTCCCCCTTCATATGTTATGATTTGTCCCCGTCTACCTATGAAATCAGGCCATCAAGAAAAAGACTATCCAACACTCTCATATATAAGGTCTTTTTGACCAGCCGAGAGCTGGCTTTGGGATGTCCTAGCCCCTAGATATATTAAAAAGAATATATATATATTTGGCAGCTCATGGTTATTCTGTTTGACTCTGCAACACAAGCATCTGTACAGCTTTCTTTGATTTCTCTGTCTGATGGACCACTGCCTGTCCAGTGATACCTTTAGGAGGAAAGGCTGAGAAAAATGAAGGTGGGAAATGTTGTTGCAGGTTTCTTCTGGGGAAGCACAAAGCAGCTATTGAAGTTTACAATGATGCAGGCCGGCACAACGAGAAGGACTGGGTAAGTGTGAGGTTTTCCTTCCTGGCTGTAAGTAGAATTGATTAGATTTTGACACATGAAAGATAATGAGTGACCTTGGGCTGCTCGCTTGTGCTGATGAGAAGCAGCTCGCCCTTCAGGATGCAGCTCATGTAGAGAAACATGAATATGTATCCAGCTGTATGCAGATGCAGCCATGATTATTCCTGTAGCTGCAATAACTGGGGACGGCGCTAATGTCACAGCAGATTTCCCTGCTCTCTGTATTGGCATACAATTCCGTTTAAGATAAATATTTCCCAGTGCAACAGGGGGACTTAAGCACAGCTCACGGATTCTCGTGTGTAGGGAGGGAAGTGACAGGATGGGCCAGCCTTTAGTCCCATAAGCAGTCCGGTCACTTTCCAGCTGCAAGGCAGTTTCACAGATCTATGATGAAACGGTGTCAGAAGGTATACACAGTCTTTCCCCCAGGTAAAGCAAAATGGAGAACGCACTGGCTTGTGTCTCTACCAGATGTGTGCACAGATGGCTTCCTGTTTTAATATTCAGCAGGAAAACAAAACCTGACCATGTACTCTTTTATGGACACCAAGCCATGTGCTGGTAGCTAATTCCTCTGTAGCCTCCTGCATTTATTTGCCAGTTCTCATCCCATCCTTAAGCCAAAGGGGCCTCAAAGTGGCTAACGAACATTTAAAAGCCATAAGACAAAAGGTGCATACATTAAACATGGATGGAGCAGCCAGAATGCATCTGTTCCAGATCATGTTAGAATCCACAGTTTATGAGCCAGCTGTGAGGAAGACTTTCTCAGAGCAGAGGCATTCCGCCTCCAATGCTTTGTTTGCCCCTGTATATGCTTGGAGAGTCGTTTACGAGTCAGCTGTGAGGAAGACTTTCTCAGCGCAGAGGCATTCCACCTCCAATGTTGTTTGCCCCTGTATATGCTTGGAGAGTCACTGCAGTTATTGCCGTTGAAGAATGGCAGGGGTTAACCATCAACAGCAGCAGAGAGGATGAGAAACTCTGCATTTAACTGATCCTTCTCAGTGGAGGAGTAAACCCAACACAAAAAGGTCAACTCCTCCATCTTGACAAGACACATTTCCAGATCTGGCCGAGGAGGAGGAAACACCCTCCAGTCTTGGATTTGTCGTCTTGGAGAGAGAGCAGCTCTTTTCCTTTGCTGCCCCGATGAAGCCTCTGGAGCAGGTTTCCCCCCATTACCTTAATTGTCCAATGTGGTTTCTTTTACCTAGTCCTCCTTCTTTCCTCCTCCTCCTCCTCCCATTATTTCTGTAGTTCAACCAGGTAAAGGGGATGCTTTTTGGAGGAAGTTAGTTCTGCAGGAGACTACCTCCCACTGCTTTTTTTTAGCCTTTTAGGTACATTTTCACTTGCTGTGTCATCTTAAGAGAGGCAACCTTGCTTCAGCTGCTTGCTTGTGCAACAGACTGCTTCTCAGATCTAGGTCCTGCCATCTGGAAGTTGTGTCATGGCAAATGGACTTCTTTCTTGTTAGGTTGAAATGTTTTGCTACTCTCCCAAGCAGCTTCTTCAGTCCGAGGAGAGTTGGTAGGAGATCCCTGATAGATCCTCCACGTTCGTTATTCACTACAGCCAATTCAGACCAGGGCAGAAGTGAAATCAATGTGTAGGATATATCAGGGATCTCCTACCAACTCTCCTCGGACTGAAGAAGCTGGTATGGATGTGAGGCCCAGATGGAGACCATTCCATCAAGGAGATTTTCCTTGCTTCCTTTGATCTAAAGGAAGCTGTCCAGCATGCCCCCATCAAGGCAACTGATAGACACTTTCTGCATTTCTCCAATGGAAAACTTCATTTTCAAGATGTTTCTGTTTGGCCTGGCATCACGGCCATGGTTATATGTGATAAGGTTGGCAGCCCTAGTAGTCACCTGAGCTCCTCAAGAGTCCAGGTGTACCTGTACCTGCATGAGTTATGCAGTGGGAGTTAATTATATACCCAGAACAACATAGATGGGAGAAATATTTGGGTTTATTCCACCCCCACCCCCATCAGCTTGGTTCCTTAGAGACCTATGTTCCTTTTCATCATACCTCTTAACCATTTTATTGAGATGGGTTTGGACATCCAAAGTGATTCTCATGGCTTCCTGGAGGCCTTAGACTGGCTTTGCTTTGACAGTTGCTGCTCAGGAGAGACTTCGTTTTGCATTTTATCTAGAACTGGAGTGGCTTCATCTCTCTGCTTGGAGATCGAGCCATGATGGATCTTAGAAACTGAGTTACTGACCAATATGGCGGCTGCCATCCTTTTATTTAAAAAAGGTTTCACTAACATGAGCTATGATATTATTTGGTCTGCCTTCCAGCACTAGAGCCGGTGGAAGGATGTTTCTTCACATGAAGCGAAGACCGTGGGTGGTGTCTGGTTTCCTACCAGTGGGACTGGAGAAGGGCTTAGCTCCCTGCTTGCTTAAAAAACAAGAAGAGGTGCTAAGTACAATTTATAGGCTAGTGGCTTGCTAGTGATTCTCATGGCTTCCTGGAGGCCTTAGACTGGCTTTGCTTTGACAGTTGCTGCTCAGGAGAGACTTCGTTTTGCATTTTATCTAGAACTGGAGTGGCTTCATCTCTCTGCTTGGAGATTGAGCCATGATGGATCTTAAAAAATGAGTTACTAACCAATATGGCGGATGCCGTCCTTTTATTTAAAACAGGTTTCACTAACATGAGCTATGATATTATTTGGTCTGCCTTCCAGCACTAGAGCCGGTGGAAGGATGTTTCTTCACATGAAGGAAAGACCATGGGTGGTGTCTGGTTTCCTACCCGTGGGACTGGAAAAGGGCTGGGTGTTTTGTTTTTGTTTTGTTTTTCAGTAGGAATTACCATTTCTGGGCCTGATAACAGCCTGCATTTGGGTCTGGGGAATTAGAATTTTTTTGCTCCATAGGCTGCTGCATTCTCTACTTGGCAGTGCTTGTAGAAACAGAACTTATGGTTCTGATGACACAGAGTATGATGTTCCTGTTGACACTCATCGCTACCAAGATTTTCACGCTCTCTGTTTAAGAAGGATGGTGCATATTTCATATGGATTTGGTGGTATTGTTGACGGACCTATCCTTCTTTTCAAAGGTTAATAATCTGTTCCATCACAGCCAGAACATATGCCTGATAACAGCCTGCATTTGGGTCTGGGAGCAAAAATGTGGCCCCCAACTCCACCAAGGTTACATTTCCCATCTTAAATACTGTAATAAATATTTGACGTTTGGCCTGTAAAGGAATGCATTAGAGAGTGTTGCCAAGCTTAGCTCTTAGGAATTTCACTTTTATCATTTCTATTACATAATTTATTTTTTGTTAGATGGAGATTATCTGTGAGCCATCTGAGAACACAGGGCAGCTGGTTAGAGGTGCACTCTTTCAACAGGTAGAATCCTCTGTAGTTTTTGAAGGAATTGGTGGTCCTTTGCGGTCGTTTCTGAATGTTTCATGGAATGGCAAGAGGTTTTCGTATCCTTGGGTATTGTATCCAATTTACAAATAATCCTCTTTTCTTTTATCCCTAGGAAATCTGCCACAATTTGGGTGTTTGCTACATGCAGCTAAAATATTTCAACAAGGTAATGTCAGGGAATTCTCTGGCAGGCAGTTCAAATGGTTGTTTTGCATCACTAGAGCAATGCAGGACAATTTTGAGGCTGTGGGCAAAATAAATATTTTTTTGGTTTGTTGTTAAGAAGAGGGGGCTGTGCAGGAAACAGGTAGAACATGCATGGAATGTCACTCTTTTGAATTGCAGTTTCCCAAATGTACTTGCGGCCACAAGCTCTGGAGACAGTGGCTTAGGGTGAAGGAAAAGAGGCTGGGGTTAGTGGATAGTAAATGATGGAGGGGGATGTAGTACTACCACTCTGACCACTAGGATTCCCCAGCCAAGCTTTCTATGTTTGTAAATATTGGACAGAAGGAGACAAGGTGATTTTTCAGTCTCTGCCAAGTGGAAGCCTATTAACTTACTGTTGAGAGTTGCATCTCTAACTTCTCTGGGTTGAATCCTGTCCACATACTGCATACTAGCCAAGTTCTTCTCATAAGAATGTTGTGAGTCAAAAGTAGAAGGGGGAAAACATGGCCCTTATAAGAGAGACCTACCTTTTCAGGTATCAAACAATCTTTTTGAATTGTACTCCAGAAGCCTAAAAGGGAAGTGATTTGGTCTAGAAGACCAAATTGTGCATTCTGTTATTGTATAAATTTAAGTTTCCCTGAGCTGTGATCTTTAGGCTTCCTGCGATTGTATTAAACCACATGGTCTCCTGTATCTTTAGCATTTAAGGGCATTTAGAAGTTACGAAGTCTGTGGTACCAGGCTTCGTGCTCTGGAAAGGACATACAGAGCACATGACCATAGCCTCTCGAGACTGAAGGATGCCTAAGATAAGAGGTTACGTGGAGCATCCAGGATTGGCACGGTGTCTCTGCTAGTAGTAGCGCAGCCTCCGAGTCAGCAGAAGCCTTGGCAAGAGGAGGCTCAGATCTCATCCTTGCAAACTCTGAAAGTGGCCCTCTCAGGTCATCTCGCGTTTTGGGAACACACACATTTGCATGGGGCAGTCTTTGACTTTCAAGGGAAGGCTCTCCTGAGTGACGTGGAGCATCCAGGATTGGCACAGTGTCTCTGCTAGTAGTAGCGCAGCCTCCGAGTCAGCAGAAGCCTTGGCAAGAGGAGGCTCAGATCTCATCCTTGCAAACTCTGAAAGTGGCCCTCTCAGGTCATCTCGCGTTTTGGGAACACACACATTTGCATGGGGCAGTCTTTGACTTTCAAGGGAAGGCTCTCCTGATGTCTTTCTGTGCCATCAGTGTGATAAACCTCTTCCCATTTACTACCTTCACACGCCATGTGCTGTTTGTGCATCGAGTCGCCCCATCCTAAAAAGTATAATGAAGCCTGCAGAGTACGCTGGCATTTTCACTTTTTAATCATGACTATCCTGTGCAGCATAATTCTTTTTCACTCTGTCAGCAACTCTCTCCCCCCCCTTTAATGTGTCATAAAAAAAACCCTGAAACCTTTCATTCTTGCCCCACGGGCTGGGCCCTTGGGAGGGAGGGAGGCCATGGCAATCGATGCCTCTCATTGGAAGAGATTAACAGTGTGCCCAGGAGGCCCCTTAGTGTGGCTCAGCAGCCCTCCAGCCTCCGTGCTGGGATAAGCATTTAGTGACGTGCTGTTAAAGCTTGCTTATCGATCTGGTCTTGGCCCTCCACACAGAAGGGCCAGCTCTGGCCTCCTGGGGCTTGCCGAAATGCCCTAGGCATGCCAAGGGGAGAGGGGTGCAGCAGGTGCAGCTCTCAGCTGAAGTGCAGAGGGTTCTTGGGTCTCGACCGGCAGGGATATGTGGCCGGGGTGGAGAGAGGAAATGGAAAGGAAGGCCACGCCTCATTCACCTGCCAGAAGGCTTTGCAGGTAGGGGTCCTCTCCGAAGAGTGTCAAGGTTTTTATTTGGAAGAGGAAGAAAAAGGAGATGGGAAATCTTACTTTCCTGCAACTACAATGCCCAGGCCCACCCCAGCCGCACAGCCAGTGTTGATCCTGGCTGGGGACACACGTACCCGAGGAGGGCCAGAGTGCCCTTGTTCCATCCCTTAGGTCCCCAGTTAAAATGAGAAAGAGAAGAAATGGGAAAACCCTTTCTCGGCCTTAGTCACGGAAGACTTGCCGTCTGCGCAGTGGCCAGAGCCTCTGACTTACCCAGCTCTGCACACAATAAGACCCATGATGCCATCAGTCTATAATTACATTTTGCTGTTCCCTCCCCGCAAGGTTCTGAGGGTCCCTAGGAATCCCTTTCAACCTGGGGAGTCTCAGAGTGGGAAGAAGCTTTAATCTCCCCAAATCGTTGCTGCTGGTCGTCAAAGGCTCCCCCACATATCCAAAGGCTGCCAGAAAGCTTTGCAGATCAGGGTCCTCTCCGAAGAGTCCCAACCTTTTTGGGCGGGGAGAGGGATAGGAAACTTAAAGATTAAAGTCCATGGCTGACAGCATGAGACATATGCATTTGGAGTTGCCCACCCAGGGCTGCAGCTGTTATCTGGCTACATAGACAAATGGCTCAATTGGTGGTGCTTTGGAGCCAGGGGTCAATCTGGGGCTTTTGAACAGCACTGCCTTTCACATCATCTGCCACCCCCACAAGGTTTCTTTCTTCTGTCTGAGCTGAGCTCAAAGTAGAAAAACGAATGTTCTATTGTCGCAAATTTTCCCGGTTGTAATGCAAAGCATTTGAGGGTGGCTTGGTCTTGACAATTAAGAGCCATTCACTTTACAAAAGTCCTGCTGCTCATCCAACTCCCTATAGCGTTGGACCCGGTGAAAAAGTAGCTGGCTGTGGGGAGTGTAGGGATCAGCCCAACCTTTTCAATTTACGGCTACACCCCTGGGTCCAACTCTGTATAAAACAGCTTCATAAGTCCATACTCATTAGCCGCTGAGCTTTTTCCTAAAATATATTTTTCCTTGTGCTTTTAACATCTGTGGCCATGAAAAGTACAGATTTTTTTAAAAAATAAAAAATGAGAAATGGATTTCTTGATTTTTCTGATCGTCAGCAGGTTGCAGAAATGTGCTTCCCAAGGCTTGGCCCCCTTTTGCTGCTTCAGAACCTCAACTGCATAGGACGCACTGCTAGGGCTGGCAGTATTTGACCAGGAAAAGTTGCCCTCTTTGAGAATCCTGTCCTCTGTGCTCTTGTCCAGGCCAAAGATCAGCTCAACAATGCCCTGCAACTCAGCCGACATGACCTGACATCCATGGTGCTTGGGAAGATCCACCTGTTGGAGGGCAATAAGGAGGAAGCGATCGAAGTCTATAAGAAAGCCGTGGAGTAAGATCTCTTCCTGGACCCTGTTGGATTGGGGTGGGATGAAGAGAAGAGGCTTGGTGCTCAGCAACGGCTCCCAGGATATAGAACAGCCAAGAGGTGCTGTGCCTTCCTCCTCCCCCCCCTAAAGAGAAGAGGCTTGGTGCTCAGCAACAGCTCCCAGGATATAGAGCAGCCGAGAGGTGCTGTGCCTTCCTCCCCCCCCCCCC